GTCTAATTTCTTTTTAATTATAGGAAATGCGTTTTTCTAAGGTACATAAACTTTTAGGATTGACTGTATAGCCAATACATCCTTAAGCAAAACGTTATAGGATCTCTCTTCGAACCCTTGCCACTTCCTGGCCGGGGGTTGAAGCCGTCCTGTTAGTCGGCTGCCAATCGCAGTCCGGACGGTCGATTCAATTACTCGACCTGCTGCAGCCTGTCGTACTGGAGAGAACGTCGGGTTCCTCTCGCTCGCGTTCTATACGTATCGCGTGTTGGAAAATCGCGCAGGGACAGTGAAATTCGAATTGAAATTAGACGAGACGACTGTATAACACGCGTTTCTACGTTAGCGTCGGAAACATATTTCTCTTCAGATAGCCGTATAATAAAAGTCATGCGACAGTAAGCGAGGTAATAACTCTTTACGGTCGGCTACTATCAGGATACTGCATTCGTTAATGTAGGTCATTCATGCGAAGGTGATAGCTTCAGACACGATTATTCCGTATCTTTTCTATTGGTTGTACTCGAAGGATAACAACGCAACTGGCAATAATCTTTCATAAGCGACAGTTCCATGACGGAAGCCAACATTGGTGACTGCCATAGAAATACCTCGATCTTCTAAAGAACCGAGACACCCGTTAGAGCAGTATCAACAGTGCGCGCCGGGAATATCGGTCATCTAAATTTATTGCGAAATTTCAAGTCCTATAAAATTGCCCACGCCGAATAGATATCGCGGTCGGTGTGATCTCATTGGTCCAACTTGCTTTCTCTCCCACCCACGCTGTCCACTTGTTTAAACGTGCGACCGCGACACACTGCGTGTTTCCCTCTACCGTTCACCGTTCTTCATGTCCGCCGGTATTTTTTCCCTCCCCTTTCCCTGTTTGATTTACCGCGTCGATTCCTCCGCGTACTCGGACGCGTTTATCGCCATAGCCGTGACACTGAAACCACGACCCGTGTAAAGGTGTAAGTTACAGGCTACGAACTAGATCGAAGCCCCTACTCCGAACAGCGTGCTCTTCTATATTTCTGGTACCACGTGTTGCTTCGACTCGGCTCGTACGCCTTCGTGCAGCTCCGAGCAGCTCGATCTCTAAGTAGAAAAGTTCGATTGGTGGTCAGACAGGGCGACGCGGCCTTCGAGGCGCACTGCGGTCTCTCTCCTAGCTCCGCGATTTTTTTAGCTCTCTTCATTGTCTCTCTCTCTCGAAACTCAGGGGATAATTTTATTGTCGTTCACGATGAGATTCTGCCGGGGACAGCTTCTACCTCCCTGAACTAGTATTCTCGTCGCGCTAATTGACAATCAAACTGTCGTTGCATGGTTACACCGACGAACTGTAATTATCGTTGACTCCGGTTATAATTTAATTGGAATTCGACTGGTTCAAGCGGCATGCCCTGGTTATTATCGCTACGCAAGCATCGTAGTTTTATTCCATGGGAAACAGTCGATGCTCATATGATCGTTACCGAGTTTCAATTCCGAAACCATCGCTGCACAAATTAATGCTTGTACTTAACGTTAATTTTGAACTCGACCGATTCTCGTTACCGCGAGCCAACTGCGCAGTCAAAGTTTGTCGCAGAGCCAAGACGCGAGTCAACTTTACTCCTGTAAAACAATGCCCGCTTTTACGACGGATCCGTGGTTTCGTCAACGCGATGGATCGTCGTTTCTCCGTTTAGTCGAGAGTTCTACGCAATTCGACAAAGGCGCCGAGCTTCCTTGAGCGTTGAACTGCTTCCACAAGTCGCTTTGGTTCTTCCTAATGAGTCTAGTCATAACGCGTGTAACCCGCATCGAATCTAATCGATCGTCCCACTAATAGATTTTACTTTTGGATCGAGTTTTTATACGAGCCTTCCTTACCTTATGAGACCGTGGCACACGTGTACAATTTCGATTCGATGGAGGTTCGCCGACCGCGAAGTAACCGATATAACACCGAGGATATTAATTCAAACTCGCACATGTATCATTCAGACGTGATTAAAGACCAGCCCTGTAACGTCTGCAAAAATTGATCGTTTTCGTCCGCTATAAGTGACCGTAGAAAGCGTTCGCGGTTCAGTTTAGTGGATACATACATGTAAATAACGAGGCGAGGACGTTTGATAAAAAGTTAAAATGTAGAAAAAGGCGTGTCGGCTGGTAATGCTGAAAACCGTATTTCGTACACGAATTAATCGTGACGGAACGCACGGTCGTGGACTCCTGATCATCCGCGACTTACGTAATTCCCCCCCGTGCGAGTCGAGCACGCGCCGGACTCGCAATTTGGTCGCCAGCAGTATCGGCAGCCATGTTGGTGTCTGTGTCTCTCGTCGCGGTTGTATCGAGAGAGTGGAAGTGGTCCGTTCCCCGGTTCTCGACGGTAATCGACTCTCGACGATGTATGCTGGGTATCAGATGGGTGGGTGGTGTTACAGGGTCGACCGTGTGGACGTTGTTCGAGGAGAAAAGAGAGGCGGTGGAAGGTGGCCTCCTATAGTTCTCCCTCTCTTCAGTCCGACAGAGAGGCGAGTTCTGTGCGGAGCGTAGAGGCGAACCGTGTGCGTCGGAGGAGGACGAGGGAGAGAGCGAGAGAGGGTTAAGCCGGGACGGACGGAGGAGGAGAGGTGACGCGAGAGACAGGGACAAACGGGCCGCGACCGAGAAAACGACGCAGGAGCGCGCAGGTGCGCTTTCCTCGCGCGGTATACCTTGTTGTTCTACGAGACAACGAGAGGTACGGGATACTCGAAAGCGCGTTTACATCGCGGCCAGTCAGCCAGAAGAATCATCCTACCCTTGGTCTCGTTGCTCTCTTCCGTCCTTTCCTCCCGTCACTCAATACCTTGTTCCGATCCGATTTACTCGCCTCTTCCGACTCACGCTTTCCCTGGCTGGCCGATTCTCCCGTCACGCAGCGAGTCAGTGGCCGTCCGTCGTTGTTCGTTGTCACGTCGTCGTCGTCGTCGTCGTCGTCGTCGTCGCGGGAGAACAAGATCGTGTCGCGATAGCGTGTCAGTTTTCGCGTCGTCGCTCGGCTCGCGTTGCGTGTGCACCTCCGCTCAGTCCGTTTCCCGTCGCAGTCGCGGTGTGTCGTGCGTGCGACCGTTGCCGACGACGGTGTGTTCCGATCCGATTCGATCCGCGCTACACTGCCGCTTGGACGGGACGACGATGACGAAAGTGTGAGCCCACGAGCGGGCAGAGTGGTGGTGAAACCGCGGGCCGTTTGTTGGCAGTGGAGGAGGTTCTGTTTCTAAGATTAAGTTGGCCTCAGGTTCGGTCCACCTGGCAAGGGAAGCTGCTGCCACTGGTTCCTCCTCGTCCCGCGCACCCTCTTTTTCTCACACGTTCGATACTGTCTCTTTTTTCGCACTTGGCAAGAGACGAACCCCTTCTCTCGTTTCTCTCTGTTTCTTAATTTCGTCTTGGATCGATTTATGACATCGATGATGTTGGCTAATGAATATGCGCGGTTATTTTCGGACCGAATAATTATGATCGAGATCCGGCGTTCCGAAACCGCGGCAGCTTCCCTTGACTCGTTTCTCGTTACACTCGTTTGGAGCATCGGTAATCACGCAGGTGAACAAGAAGAAACCGAGCCCGCCTCACGTCAAGCTCAACACGTATGATACAATGCATCAATTTTAGATATTCTTCTCCGATGTGATTGAGATTTCTACGATTCCGTATAATCGATGATTCATTGGAAATGTCTTTCGTTCGTCTACCTCTTGAAGGAATCGTTGAAATTTCAAAAGAAAACGATCATCATCCTTGCTCTTGTTCATCGTCTCGACCGCGAGTGTTCCCATTCATAATTGCTAATTAGCGATCGACAGCTGCTTTCGATCAAAACGTAGTGGGCGCTCTATTATCGATGGATCATGAATAGACTGATTTAATGCAATCATAAGAAAATTGAATGTGCAGAAATGATGAACGTATAAGACAGTTCATAATATTAAAAGCTCAATGAATGACTCAATATGAAATGATCTAACAAATACTTATCTTGAACACGTCTTTTATATCAATGCCATAAATGTCTTATGTTCTGCAGTCTAATCTTGAATTTCTAGTTAAAGACCGATAACTGTGACTCAGTATAACTGGTTTTATGCATATATTATCTTTGAAAATTATTCTGTAACGAATACATCAAAGGAGTTTTCTTTTGGGTCAGCTTTTCTATTTTCACACAATTTGTCCTGGTCTATATGTTCGCTAAGAATCAATCAGCCGCTCAGGGTCGTTTCTGTCATGGACGCATGTATTTAGTATGCTTTACACATTGTAGAAATTCGTGTTAAACGTTTCACAATTTTACCATTTATTTTTTATTAAGAAATGACCAACGTTTTTCGACTCGATTAAAATTTCCATATGGCTGCCGTTAACGTCGCGAATGATGTACCGATGATTGGTTGGAAATCAATTTGAGTGGGAAACCAATGAAAAAAAGTAGAGTACTTTCATGTATCACTCTTTCTATCGTGTTTATCGTTCGATCAACTGCAGACTCGATCGTATCAACAAGGTCGAAACAAATACAAGCAAACCTTTTTTTACAGTAATAACTCCATTAGAAAATAGAACCTGAAAGGTTCTGACCGTGTAACAAAATCGCGATGGACGAAGCTCGTGCGACCAGGTTTGATCGAATCAACCCCGGGACCACGGCTACCAGTGAAACGTCCTGTATACGGGTTGACGTCGTTAAAAGTAAAAGCACACGCGTACGAGTAGCAGGTGGCGCGGGTCTCTCTTCCCACCTTCCGTCGCCTCCCTTTCCGCTTCACGAACCCCGGGATCGATGGGAAATTCAGGGACGGTGGTGCGTCGCGCGCATTCAATAATTAGCACTAATTATATTTTGCGCGAAGGTCGCCCACGGAAATGAGTAAAGGCGGCGCTTCGCTCGGCGTCGTCGTTTGTACGCGCGCATTCGATAGCCACCATCGTACCTTGAGAATCGATCGCGTTCCCGATACGCTGACCTATATCCTTTTCGCGTACATATATACGTACATACCCGGATATCCGCCGTGGGAAGACGGCGGGGCTGCGTGTTCCTTCGCGTGAAAAAGGAAGTGGAACCCGACGTCGTCGCGGTCGGACCTACTTCGGTCGTCTCTGGAGACCTCGGAAATAGATAAGCGCATTAGTCCGCTGAAAATCGAGAAATTTTTCCTACGACTAATCAATTGCTAATGAAAGACATTTATCATTCGATAGGTCGCGGTTTTTTATGCAAAACGCAACTTGTGACGTCCTCAGTAATTGTTTAAGATATTACGACGAAATAGTATGAAACGATTATAACAAGTTTTAATCCTTGTGTTGGATTTGAAGAATTCGTTAAGATTTTTTAAATAGAAAATTCCAAGAAACGTTCAACAGTGAAATTGAGAAAAGCTTTGGATAAGCGGTGCTCGTTCGTGCTTGCTGAAATGAAAACCGTTCGCTTTGAATGAAACGAAATTCGCTCCTCTGTTCTCTTTTTAATTTTCTCTACTGGGTTATATTAATCTGGATGGGAAACGAAGTAACGAAACTGAAAAGCGGTAAAGTAATTCTAAATGAAGATTGTGGAGTTCAATCGTATTCGGCGAGCGGTCGCCGGATTCTATCTGCATAAATAAATAATTAAGAGCGCTCGGCTTCCGGTCCGTGTTTATTATCCGCAATTGCGTAGAAAAGTTTCTCATCGAGCGAAACTTAAAATTGTGTAATCGATAAAAACCCGAAATCGTTATCGGTGATAAAAAAGAATATTGTCATCCTCTGACAATTTTGTCAATTCCATAAAAGCTTTCCTCGATAAAGATTATCGACCAAGTTTTGACACACGTTCTACAGGTAGATAAATTATCGGAGCTACAATGAGCGTGTATTCAGTATTCAGTATTCAATGACGTTGATCGAACAATGAATAACTTAAAAAATTCCAGACAAACCATTTTATTACAAGGTCAATAAAACTCGCTTTGGAAATTTATTCAATTTTCTGAACGATCAAATATTCTACAAATATCTTCGAATTAAGATCGTTACTAAATTACGGACACAGTTTGGATGTTGATGACTAAGCTACGCGTTCTATGGCTGACCACACGCTATTGGAAGCCTCGTTACTCAATCAGCTAATTTCATAAGGAAACGTATCGCACATGGTCGAAATTATCGTTGAAAAATGCCCGAGTGCGACCAGTTGAAAAAGTATCGGCGACCTTCATTGTTCTCCGCGAGACTTTTGCAAACAATCAAGCTCTATTTTTACCCTCGCACCCTGTGCAGCCAATTCTCGCGCGTTCGTACTGCACGTAACACATGTTAATCCCAACGGTATATAACAATGTATTACGTAAACGACAGAAGCTACAGGATCGACTGCTCTTTCTAAAATCTTTCGATCCCTCAGTTCGCAGACTATTCGAGCCAAAGGAAATCAGCAGTTTCTCGACTCCTTAATAGATTCGAAAATTCTAATTCATCGTTTCGTTCCGCTTCAATTTTTCTGGCTCGTCCGACGAGAATGCAAACCCGAGCGGGTCCAAATAACCCCGGGCTTTTTCGCAACCCCGACGGCCAGCCCCGCCGTCCATCGCGATTTCGATACACGTACACGACCCTCACGCGTGTGTTAATGATCCGCGCATCGGGCGTGCCACATTTCTCTCCTCCGGTTACCAGGTTAGGTGGACAACACACATTTACGCCGTGGCCCAGCGCCACGCAGCTTGGCACAGCTTTTTCGGCCAGCATTGTGTAACATCGTCGGCCGTCGTCTATCGGTCGGCAAAGGCGGCTTTACGAGCGCAATGTCGTACCGTTCGCCTAGTTCGCGGCTAGTTCTCTCCACGATGTCCCGAGATACGGACTTTTTTTTCTCTTCCATCCCGTTCGCGAACGCGAGTCGATTTCGGTTCGGTGCTCGTGAGTGGTTCCGATACGGACGCAGAACGATCCATCGATCCTCTGGTTCTTTGTTTGTGCATTTATTCGTACCTCTCCGAAGGAGTTCGTTCATCTGTCTCTGTGTTCCTTCTACGCGGTCCCCGAACAATATCGAATCATTCGGCTAATCGTGGATAATTCTCTGTATGTTGTCCGGCGAGGCGGACTCTCTCACCAATCGCTGTTATTCTTGACTCCCTGAAGAGGCTCGTTAATTCCTTCTCTTCGAGTGACGGCTAAACAGCAAAGAAACTTCTCGGCCTCATGGGCATATTCGGTTTGAAATTTTAATTGGCTATCTCGTTCAGTTGTTGCAAAAACATAATGACTAAACAATTCCCGAGACTAAAAGATCCCCGTACGACACGAAGCGTCAATTAATAAGAGTCTTTCGTTACACGGATCGGAACGTCTTCTCGTCTCGAACTGACCCCAGAACCACCGTCGACAGTGGGATGATTCGTCACATTATTAAAACGACGTCAGAGCGAAGGTCCGCTCCGTCGCCTGGTTCTCGCGTTATGCCATTAGCAGTGGAAGGCAGAATCGATCGTTAAGCTCGTTTAACGGCAAAGTGGTCCAATTACAACCGCCACTGCCCTCTGCGGCTTTTACCTCGTCTGAAAACTACGCTCACGATCGTCCCTGGCTTTTTTTTTTCTCTCTCCCGCGCAGCCTCGTTTTCTCGCTGTCCTCCGCCAGTCTTCTTTCGTTTCCCCGTCGATTTATAACTGTCTCGGTCGATTCGTGTCGGATTTCAATTAGTATCCAGTT